TTATATATACAGACACTCCTCACTTACCTACTGGGTTCTGTTCTTATGCTCTTATGAATTGGTCAGGAAGTGAGGATGTGCTACAGAACATGCACACTAGTACAGTCTAGAGAGCTGGTCATAAGTCTGAGTAGTTGTCAAATAGGTCAGTCGTAAAGTGTGGACTACATGTACTTACATGAACCTCATTTCAGTTTGACTGCAAAACCTCCTACTGAAACTGTTACAAATGAGTCACAACTTTCAGTAACAAGGAATTATGTTGATTGCATTATTAAGATTGGTGGCACCCATTACCTGGTTCACAGAGCAAAGGAAAGTTAATTTACTATTCACTTCTCCTTCATCTTTTTTTTCTATATAAAAAAAAAAAATACCATGGTTTCCCTTTTATATTTACAGTTAAACTAAACAAATCTATCATGATAAATAACACATCTAACAAAACATATCCACATTACAGAACTATAATTATAAGCAATGATAAACTGTAGAAAATGTACTAATAACACGTTAAGAAGAACCCAGGGTGTCTTTAAACAAATATGTTTAATTGTACAGTTCATAAATGAAATAATGAAACACATTTGTAAGGACATATTTTATGGGTTATTTCCCATGTCTATATGCGTAATGCAGAAAAATGCAATTGTACACCAATAGGATAACACCTCCCAACACTAGTAATTAAAGGCAAAAAAATGAATCAAAACTAAATTTGAATAGCGTTCTCAAGAACTACAAACAGAATTTTAATAAAGATGTTAATCACCCATTGCCATTAGTTGTCCCTCAGAGGTGCTCAGCACAGTAGCTGAACCAAATAATTTATTTTTCTGTAGATAATTTACTCATGAAGAAATTAAGTGTAATATTTGTTTTAAACATGGTTAGCATAGCCAGTATGAAACATTAAGCTTTATATTATCTATTGTCTGCTGTTCTAGAATACCTAAAAGGTATGTTTATATAACCATTGTAACTGTTTGAAGCCCCTGAGCCATCAAGTACATACCTATCCTCAGCATTTACCATTCGGTAATAAATATAAAAGAAACAATTTAAAAACCAATGTGGCTTAGTAGAGAAGTAAAACAAGAGATTAAAAATATTTTTTATAAATGTTCTTGAAATAGGCATTGAAAGCCATGTTTCAGTGTTTGCAGATGACACAAAACTTTGCACAAGTATCTTACACCCTAAATGGTAGTGAATTAGGGGTAACACGAGAAGGATTTGGGAATTGTTATGGACAACAAATTAGGCAGCAATATGCAATGTCAATCTGCAGTTGCTAAGGCCAGTAAGGTTTTGTCATTTATAAATAGGGGCATAAATTCTCGAGAGGAAACTATAATTTTGCCTCTTTATAAATCACTGGTAAGAACACACCTTCAATATGCTGTGCAATTTTGGACACCTGTTCTAAAGAAGGATATCGTGGCACTAGAAGTGCAGAGACAAGCTACATAATTGATAAAAGGAATGGAGCATTTTAGTTACGAAGAAAGGTTAAAAAATTTAAATTTAGGAGGGGCGGAGCCTAACCTTTCATGGAGAAAGACGCATGAGCCCTTAGCTCTCCTACCCTGTGTGCACAATCTTCTACCATCAGCGAACAAAAAGGCGCATCTCGCCCACAAATTGCAGACCTCCTACCCCTTACACTTTCCTCACCTCCAATCCAGATGGGGGGGCAACAAAAAATGAAGAGAAACCACGCTATTGGTGGCCACACTGTTCAGCAACAGGGACGAGGGGCGGCCATATTTATGCCAGGGCCAAGCTGACTCCGGCTTCAAATCCTGGAGAGCCCGGCGACCAAAAGAGGACCTCCGGAAAATGCTCCGGGAAACTTCCAAAGATATCAAGGCCTACACCACAGCCACTCTGGAGAAGTAGATGGCCAGCCTGAAAGAAGACATGGAGGCCCTGGCCTCACGTACCAGCCACACAGAGCACCTGCTCACCGGAAAGCAGGCCAAGACTGCGGCCCACAATCGGGACATTGCAGTACTAAGAGACAAAGTAAAGGGAACTGGAGGACGGCCTGGATCACTTAAACAGGTCCTGAAGACAAAAGATACGCATAAGGGGGCTGCCAGAATCCGTCTTGCCGGAGGCCATACTGTTTTTTCAGTCCCTCCTCCCTGACACATCCGACCAGGATCTATACATTGAACAGGCACACAGGGCCCTGCGCCCCCTAGCCTTCAATCCGAATGCACCCAGGGATGTCATCACCAGGCTCCTACATGTCCCTATCAAGGAAAAGTTAATGCATACAGCGAGGGATCACCCTAAAACATACCAGGGACAAACATTGCACTTCTACCAGGACTTGGCACCGACCACGCTGCGGAAACACTGAGAACTCCAACCCCTTACCACAGCATTGACGGAGCAAGGATGGCGCTATATGTGGGGGCACCCCTTTAAACTTCAAAAAAGGTGACCAAACCTACACCCTCCATCAAGTGACCAACATGCAGGACATTGCCAAACATCTAGGTGTCTCCTTACGCTATCCTTCGTCTGATCCCAGCTCCACCACATCAGAAGGCACAGGCCGAAGAGGAGGGCCTCCTCACTCACAGACCAAGAAAAGGCCTCCACCCACATCCTGGGGACAGGCCAAGATGGGCACCTGAACTTCAGCGCATGACGACTGGAAGTCTCTCCCGAAACCCTACTCAGGTTACCCACTACCTACACATGGTCTTAGACCTTATCATATGTATATCATTTAAAGTTGACACACTCAAAATGTTTTTCTCTAATATTGATTGTTTTATGTGTTCCAAATGTTCCAAAGTACTAGGGTGCCCCGGCGCCTACCCACAGCCTTAAACCTTACCATATGTACATCGCTTATAGATTCCACACTCAAAATGTTATTTCTCTGATACTGACTGTTATATATGTGTTCCAAATGTTGCCAGGTACTAGGGCGCCCTTGTGCCTACTCACTGCCTTAGACCTAATCAACTGTACATCGTTTATAGATGACACACTCACAATGTTATAACTCTGATACCGACTGTCTTGTACATGTTCCAAATGATCCAAGGAACTGGGGTGCCTACTCATGACTTTAGACCTCATCATACGTATACCGTTTTCAGTCGACACATTCAAACAGTTTTTTATAGTTTCGTTTAGTTTATTATGACACTGACTGTTTTGTAGGTGTCCCCAATGATCCAAGGTAGTGTGGTACCCCGGGACCCAGACTCACTCAGACACCCCAGGGGTGAGACCCAACCCCCATCACTCGCAGGACTGTGTGTCCGCGGCTTCCACCGCACGGCCACCTGTAATGGCTGCATGCGGGGGAGGCCCCGAGACGTGCTTGCCTGCAGCCCCTGAGTCCCTCATTCGGGGGAGAGCCCACCCACACCATGCCAAACTCCCCCATCCAGAGGGATACCCAGGCCATAGGGGAGACCATCACGCACCCCACCACCAACCCGCTCTGGCTTACAATACATCTGAAACAAGCACCCGCCCCTATTGGGGCCAGATCCCAGCTCAGGGGCCTTCGCCCTCTCACAACCGGTCCCCCAACCCAACGACAACGGGGGGGCACCAACCCACACAGAGGCCGAGATACCTAGCAAAGGCACACAGGAAGGCCAGAGGGACACCAAGCCCCATGACTCTGGGGGGGTACGCTCGGGACGGCACCGCATGGGGCCACACACCACTTACTCACTGCACGCTAGCAAGCACAAGAAAGCATAAATGCCCCACCATGGACCCTGCCATGCTTCGGCATATGGCATACCCTGAGAGCCACCAACAGTCACTCAGATAGAGCGGGCTCCCTTTTTATGTTATAGACACTAAAATACCTGTAGGAAACTATAATGAGTCAGAAGACAGTACTGACCGTGCAAACCTATGGTACTTCTTTATACGCAACAAAGTACAAATCGATCCACCTCCTGATACAACCTCAGCTGTAGGGTCTCAAACCAAAACAAAACCCAGCTGTTGGTCTGCATACTTTTCGGGGAACCACAGCCTGCTTTATCACTAAAAGAGTAAATATTTTTAAAAACGCAAGGTAAAACTTGACACATAGAAGACATACTCAAACAGACCCCCCCATCCCACTGGAAACGCACTTTATAACCCTGCCACTTCATGCATTTATGAAGAGGAGAGTCCCTCTGGAAAATATTACTGTGTCTGTATAAAGCACCTCATTAACAATGGTACTTCTAATGTTTCACTTTAATTTATGTATATTCCATTGTATTTATATGACAAGCCCCAGAGAACCCTCCCAAGGTATTACTCACCAAAACTGTGACACTTCCACCTCTCCACCTGTAAACAGCTAAGGTGCAGCACACAAGTATGACTAAATGGCCCATGTGGACCACATACGTACCTACAAAACAAAACAACCAGGACACGATGGAACAACAACATGACTAGAACAGCACACCCCACCCACTACTCACACCAATCAACGCACCACCAAAGGGCCATGAAAACATATTCGACCAGTCAATACCATTGCCCACAGACAAGCCTTCGGTAGGGACACAAACCCTCCATAGGAGACACCATACAGGCCCCAACCCCACAACCTCAACTAAACATAAACTACACCCGACTAGGGAAAACCAACCCATAAGCTCATATGGAAGAGACCGTTCCATAAGCAGCATAGCCCTGAACCCGACTAGCCACTGCCCCAACTCCATAACAAAAAGCCCTGGGCCCAGCCACCAAAACAAACAAATCGAGGACACTCTGACCGACCTCGCCACCGGGGAGGAGACAGCCCCGGGACCCTCTAGGGGGAGTCCCACCCCTACACACCCAACCACCAGTCTACACTAGTGACATCGCAGCATACCAGCAACCATACGGCCGACACCTGGGCACACCTCGTGGATACCCACCTGGTTTGGCCCATACACATTCACAACCACACCCATCCACACCCGCCCTATGCAACTGCTCCCCAGCGCACCCTCACATAGGTGGGGCACAACCTTTGATCCGGATGACCCTCAGAACCCTAGAGGCCAACTCAAACTCGACCCCACACCGGAACTAAGCAAACAAATCAAACAATGTCAAACAGACATTAAAGAATACATGGCGAAAGTCTTGACTAAAGCCCTATTATGGTCGAAACAATTCTTCTACGACAAGGCCAATAAGGCCGACACACTCCTAGCACGCATACTTAAACAGAGAACTGCCCAAAAACTGATCGACAAAATAGCCACTCCAGACGGATCAATAACGGAAGACCCGGACAAAATCGCGGGAGTGTTCCAAAAATACTTCACAAACTTATACGATCACGACCCTCACGCACGTCACAATCCAACTGCTACCAAAGCACTTATTGACCACTTCCTGAGCCAGGTCCCACTACCCTCCTTGCCCAACAAAGCAGCACAAATACTATCCAACACAATCACACCAGAAGAACTTGTGGGAACTATGAAATCGCTCAAACCGAATTAAAGCCCAGGCCCTGATGGGTTCACAGGACTATATTACAAAACATTCGCCCCCACACTGACCACACACTTCTGCAACCTGTTCAATGCCATCCTAAAAGGCGATCCACTGCCACAAGAAAATCTACAGGCAAACGTTTGCCTCCTCCCCAAACCAAATAAAACACACCTAGACCCCGGACACTACCGACCTATCTTACTACTCAATGTAGACATAAAACTATTTGCTAAACTTTTTGCGGACTGCCTATGCCCCTTTCTGCCCCAGTTAATCCACCCAGACCAGGTAGGATTCATCCCCATGAGACAGGCCAGCGATAACATGAGACGCACATACGACCTCATATGGACCGCACACACAAGACAAATCCCAACCCTCCTATTCTCACTGGACGCCGAGAAGGCTTTCGACAGACTGCTCTGACCCTTCCTGTTCACAAGCCTAAAAAAATTTGGATTCCCGTCGGGCTTTTATGGATGCCCTGCAAGCATTATACTCCCAATTACTCACCCAGCCACCCACCTTCACTATACACAACAGCACGCGCCATGGATGCCCCCTATGTTCTCCCTGTCCCTAGAACTGCTCCTACAAAACCTCAGGCACAATATTGCCATAAAAGGCCTCAAAATACACGAGGAAGAATACAAGACCGCAGCCTACGTGGACGACTCATCACGATTACAGAACCACCGACCTCACTACCACCACTCCTACAGGCCTTAGAGGAATACGCCACAGTCTCCAGCTATAAACTCAATATCAACAAAAGGAAGGCCCTACGCATACACATAGACCCTCCCACCTTAGAGGCCCTACAAAGAACATACCCGCGACCAATCCACATGGCAGGACATGCCGATCTCATGGCTGGGCAGGCTGGCCTCTATCAAGATGAATGTTCTACCTAGGCTCCTATATTTATTCCAAGCCCTCCCAATACCAATCTCGGACCCAGACATCAAACAGCTACAAACTGCAATAGACAAGTTCATCTGGTCCAACAAAAAAAAAAAACCCTATATGTACCCAACAGGGCAGGAGGACTAGGCCTGCCACATCTTACCCACTACTACCAGTCAGCACAATTAACACAAGCCCAAAACTTGCATGCCCCGTATGAAGTCTAACGATGGGTAGACCTCGAGCACATCTTTGGCAGGGACTTCCCCTCCCTCTACATATGGCTACCAAGACAAGCGAGACCCCCCTTGGCCAGGACCTCCCTGGCGCTAATCAACGCCATTAAAATATGGGACAAAGTCACACACAAAAGTGGCCTCACAACACAAGTCACCACTAACCCAACTGCTCTGCAACACACAATTCCCACCGGGCATGACACCCAGAGACATTGTACGCTTCAAAGATAACAATCTCACTCGCCTCCACCATTTTTACAGAAACCAACAGCCAATACCATTCACAACCTCCCACAAGCTACACCTTTTCGAACGGTCAACCTTTTCCAACAGATCCAGATCAAAAGCTTTCTTGAGATACTAGCAAACAAACAGGCCGGCATCATGGCCCTAAAACCCTTTGAATAACAATGTCTGCAAGCAAGCACCAGTACAAAAAGGCCAGCTCTCTACACTTTACTCACACATAATCCAAAACATTAAGGAGGGAGCCCTCACATATGTATCAGCTTGGGAGAGGAACCTAGGCCCAGCCGAGGATTCATCCGACTGGGCCGACATCTGCGAGGCCACAGCTACAATATCCATATGTGTCAACCACAAAGAGCAGTCCTATAAAACCCTAATGAGATGGTACCTTACCCCCCTCAAACTTAAACAGATGGGCAGGGCGGTCACAGACCTATGCTGGAAGTGATGCAGACACAAGGGAACATACCTCCACCTTTGGTGGGAGTGCACTACCATCGCACAACTATGGCAGCAGGTCGCAACCATGGTGTCCAAGATCCTACACTCTGACGGCCCACTTAACCCATGGATATGGCTACTATCAAAGCCGCACACAAAAACACCAAGAGCCCAAAACAAACTGATCGCCAGGATAGTGTTAGCAACCAGAAGGGCAATCTCCGAAAAATGGGAAAGCCAGGACGGACATGGTACGCCGGAAAATAACAGATGCAATCAAAATGGATGAAATGTCTGCAATGATACATGATTTGACCAAACACTTTCACAAAATATGGGACCTATGGTTCTACGAATTTCCAATATCCACATAATGAACACAGAAATCCACCTCTCACATAGGGACCAACCACTCACAACAACTACACCGCACCTCACTCCTTTTTTTTCTCTTCTCTTTCTCTTTTTCCTATCATGCCCCTCCTCACCTGAAACCCCCCCTCCCTCCCCACCCCTGGACTCACAACGCAACCCCCACTCAGCTAATGACCAGACCACCGGAACATAACCTCACTTCGAGATTTCCATGCCCCATTACTGAAGTCCCACGCACTACTATCAACCCAGAAGGCTACGGCAAGACTCCACCACAGCTTAGAGTCCATCCGCCGACCCATACCACACAGCAGCACACCACAAAGCTCATGAGCCACGAGAACCTATAGAACCACACGCCCACACACACCCACTCGCCACGCAAAGACACGTAAGTGGCGGACATGGGGATTCTCCACCCCCCTCCCCCACCGATAGACCTCAAGACCAATTAAGGGCAAAGTGAAACCACCCACAAACCACAACCCTAAGAAAACCCATGCATCACAACAGACACATCCGGAAGCACGGACACACACCAGAGACCAGCGCCTAGACGTGAGCCCGACAGCACTGATATGCATTAGCTCCGAACACCCAACATGGCCCAGCTTGGGACGCCGACCACAGCCTACGCCAACATTATAGCACCTGAACCACAAACGCATATGCAAAACAGCTGACAATATAACACACAGGACTGGACAACCCATAGTCCGACCCGCCCAACAGCAACATGCTAACAGGGACAAAATGTGGAAAATACCCTCATACCCACCTTTCACTCACAGTAGCAGCGTCACCTCGTGACTTTAATACCCAGTTTACCCCAACCTGTTACTAAAATGAAAAGTGCAAAACAACAACCTTGTACGACATGCCTCAAACTCTGTACCTATTGTAAGACCAAAAAGAAACCTCATTGTTATTCGTAATGTATATATAATGTATCTTCTTGTAATCGCAGCACTAACATGTTGAATAATCTATTGTTAACCTTTATGCAGAAACAAAATAAAGAATTTATAAAAAAAATAAAATAATTAAAATCTATTGAGTTTGGAAAAACAGCATATCCTCAGAGGGGATATGATAACATTACAAATATATTTGGGGCCAGTACAAACCATTATCTGGAAATCTATTCATAAACAGGGCTATACATGGGACACAAGGTTATGCATTTAGGCTGGAAGAAAGGATATTTCATCTAAGGCAAAGAAAAGTTTTTTTACAGTAAGAGCAATAAGGATGTGAAATTTTCTGCCTGAAGAGGTGGTTTTATCAGAGTCCATACAGATGTTTAAACAGCAATTGGATAAATACTTGCAAAAACATAACATACCAGGATATAATTTCTGATTAGTGGGGTAATATCTGCTTGATCCAAGGAGAAATCTGACTGCTATTTTGGGGTCAAGAAGGATTTTTTTCCTAGTTTGTTGCAAAATTGGAATCGCTTGAGACTAGGTTTTTTGCCTTCTTTTGGATCTTTTGGATAAGATATACTAAAGGTGGTAAGACATCTAAAAAAGGGGATAAGAAACAAAAGGTGGGATAAGAGGCACGCAGGTGAAGAAACTTTACAAGGGGGGGGGGGGGGGGGGGAAAGCACATCACCTCCAACCCTTCAATCCAGACAAGTCATTATTTGAAATATATATATATTTACATAAATATACATGTCAAATTTGTATATGTATATGTCACGAACGTACCCTACTCCAAGAGTGGGCGCGACGTAGTTGCGATGGTGAAAGGGTTAAAGTTCACTATCTGTCTGCACTATACCGGAAATAATAACAAAATCCCCCTTTTAAAACCACCCACACTTAAATATAATAATATAACTATTACTATTTTAACGCTGCCATCACCAAGACAATTTATAAATGGGGTTCCTTGGTCCCCCAGGTAAATCAATAATAAAACCCACCAAATATTACTTAGTACAATATTTACAAGTTATTGCAAAAATACTAACTAGTTTCTTCAGGTAACGTGATTCTTAACCAGACAAAAGCAAAACTTAATAAATGAATGTTTATTATGAGCAAAAGATAGTCACAGTGCATATAAAAATATATGATAAACAAATTATTTACACCAACAACAGATAAAAACAAAAAGGATAAAATTAGGTTTTCAAAGTACAACTTCTGTCCAGGGGGTCTCTGGCAAGGAAAGATGGTGACTCACTCAAAATTAGATCTTGGCCCCAAGCAAGTACACAAAAACCCTTCAGGATCACAGGAGATATACCCTGTGAATTGCCACGCCTCACCCAGGGGTGGAGCAATAGGGATACCAAGTGACCACCTCCTTTGTTCCAGAAAACTACAAGCCACATACAAACTTTTGTTTTTATCTCCTCTACTGTACTTGCCACAGAAATAATAATTGCCTCTATGAATTTGTTATTGTTTTCCCATTCCAAAGACATGTTGCACGCCCCGCCTACGATCCAATAGGACGGACATCACAAGTCCTGCCACACGGTTTAAGTTGTGCAACTCATGTTTAGGCTTAATTAAAAGATTGGGTTTGTCCTATTCCAAATATAATAAAAATGAGGCTTGATTATTAACCTGTGGGTAAGTATTAATGTTTCACTTGGATAAGATACTGGAACACAAGGAT